CCCCCCCAAAAAAAAACCCTGGCCCCCCCCCCCCGCCCGGGGGGGGGGGGGTCGGTGTCTCCCAGCCCCTCACACCCCCAGGAAAATGCCGTTTCTCCTCCCCCCAAAAACCACGGGATTGAGGATTTCTGGATTCTCAGTTTTTTTTCAGGAGGCAGGAGATGCCTCCAGGGTTCCCCCCCCCCTCCCCTACCTTTAGGGAGGCAAAAAAATCTTATTTCTCCCCCCTCACCCCCCCAAAATTTTTCCTCCTTACCTTCTCCTCCCGGAGCCCTTCACAACCATCAACCCAGCGCTAAGCAACCAGCCTCTGTTGTGCTTCCCTGTGTGTCCCCCCCGTCTCCTCGACACCAGCAAGGAGGGGGGAAGATCCATAAAAAACCCTACTCCCCACAGCGGGGGGGGGTTAAAAAAAATCATATTTGGCATTAAACCCACTTTATTATTCATTTTTTCCAGCTTACAGCGCTCCCCTGGCTCCAAACCCTCACCAACAGGTGAAGCGAAACCCTGGAAATCAAAATGCTCCTCCATCCAGATGGAAATGATAATGAAAAAATAAATAAAAATAACCAAGAAAAGAGAATTTGTACACGGAAAAGCCTTCATATAAATAGGTAAGAAAATATTTATTTGTTTAAAGAGAGGAATCTCAAAGAGACCGACTCCGCGCTGTCCTTCATGGCAAATACCGCTTCATAAAATCTCCGCAGAAGTAAAAAAAAAAAATCATAAAAAACCCCCAACCAACCAACCCCTCCAAAAAAATCTCTCTCTTCAAAATAGAGGTGAAAAAATACATCTTCCCGGTGTAAGGAATTGAGGATTTCAGCATCAAAAAGGCAGCGGTTTGGCTTCCCCGCCCCCTCCCCCCCCAGCTGCAGGGCAGAGAAAAAAGCACTGAGAAAAAAAATATTGGGGGGAGGGGGGGGGCATTTCGTTTGGATTTTCACCAGCAAAGTGTCTCCAGGAGGACACCCCCCACCAGGGAAAAGGTTTATCCAGCCCAAATCCACCAGGAAAAAGGCTCCCGGGAGGCTCCGTCGCCTCCAAAATGACCTTAATTAGGGCAGGGCTGAGAGTGAGGGTCCCCCCCTCCTCACCCTCTCGTTAATTAAGACGAGGTGATGAAGCTGATGGCTTTTTTTTATCTTGAAGGAGAAGCCTCCGAGGTTCATCCAGGTGAAAAATAAAAATAAAGCCCCCCCTTCCCCTCCCCGAGGCGGAGGGCGCCGGCGTGGAGTGTTTTAAGGCACATCTTGGTTTATTTCAGCATTTCGATGCCGTGGGGGGGTGGGGGGGTTGGATATTTAAGGGCAGGAGGGGGGGTGTCCCCCCAAACCCCCCCTGCTTTGGTCCAGAAGGAGTGAGGATGATCCCAGCACCCGGGGGGGGACACGAGGGGCCGGGGTTCAGAACTGAACCCAGCCTGTGTTTGTCTGGGTCGGGTTAGAAGCTGACCTGGAGAGGGGGGAAAAAAAAGGGAAAAAAAGAGGTTTTAGATACTGAAAGGGCTGAGACAGGCGGGGAGGGAGGTGGGGAGCCAGAAATGGGTCACCCCAACCCTGGGGAAAGATGGGGTGGGGAGGAAGAGGAAGGCAGCACCCACGGACCTTCAGCAAACTGGGGGAGATGGGACACACGCTGTCAGAGCCACTTTTAAATCCCCAACGGGGGTTTGGACGGAGCCGTGTCCCCCAGCCCAGCATTTTGGTTCAGATGTTTGGGTTTTTTAATGCTGTGGGGCCACACACACAAATAAGCCCCCCGGGCCTCACCCTGAAGCTTTGGCAAAGTCTCCCCAAACATCGGTGGTGGCGGTGGAAGGAGCAGCAGGAGGCTGTGGCCAGGCCAAGAGAGAGTCTGTGGGCAGCCAGGAACGTCGGGAGGAGAGAAAGCAAACATCAGGGGTTATTGCATAGAGTCACAGAATGCTATGGGGTGGGAAGGGACCTCTGGAGATCACCCAGTCCAACCCCCTGCCACAGCAGGGCCACCCAGAGCAGGTCCCACAGGAACGTGTCCAGGGGGGGTTGGAATGTCTCCAGAGAAGGAGACTCCACCACCTCTCTGGGCAGCCTCTGCCAGGGCTCTGCCACCCTCACAGCAAACAAGTTCCTCCTCATGTTGAGATGGAACTTCCAAACTTCAAGTTTGTGCCCATTCCCTCTTGTCCTGTCCCTGGGCACCACTGGAAAAAGCCTGGCCCCATCCTCCTGACACCCACCCTGGAAGGATTTAGAGGTGTTGATCAGATCCCCCCTCAGCCTTCTCTTCTCCAGACTGAACAGACCCAAGTCCCTCAGCCTTTCCTCAGCACAGAGATGCTCCAGGCCCCTCAGCATCTCTGTAGCCTCTGCTGGACCCTCTCCAGCAGTTCCCTGTCCTTCTGGAACTGGGCAGCCCAGAACTGGTCCCAGTGCTCCAGATGGGGCCTCCCCAGGGCAGAGCAGAGGGGCAGGATGACCTCCCTCCACCTGCTGCTCACACTCTTCCTCATGCCCCCCAGGATGCCACTGGCCTTCTTGGCCACCAGGGCCCATTGCTGGCTCCTGGGCATCCTGTTGGCCACCAGGACTCCCAGGCCTTTCTCCTCAGAGCTGCTCTCCAGCAGGTCACCCCCAACCTGTGCTGGTTTGGGGGGGTTATTCCTCCCCAGGTTCAGCACCCTGCACTTGCCCTTGATGAACCTCATCCGGTTCCTCTCTGCCCAACTCTCCAGCCTGTCCAGGTCTCTCTGGATGGTGGCACAGCCTTCTGGGGTGTCAGCCACCCCTCCTAGTTTTGTGTCATCAGCAAACGTGCTGAGGGGACATCCCATCCCTTCATCCAGGTCATTGATGAAGATATTGAAGAGGACCAGACCCAGTGCTGACCCCTGACTTCCAGCTGGATTCTGTGCCCCTACCCACGACCCTCCGGGCTCTGTCTTTCAGTCAGTTTTCAATCCACTCTTTCCCACTCTTATTCCCAGATTCCCCCCTCTGTTTTCCCAAATTTGAGGGATAAAATGGAACAGAAAGAGCTTTCGTGGTGGCAGTGTGCCCACGGACCTGTGATGGGGGTGCCTGGCAGCTGGTGGGGCGCGGAGCCGGCAGATGGAGGACAAACTGGAGCTGAAGATTTTCCTCCAGGAGGAGGGGGGAGCAAGCTCAGGCCCCCGAGACTCGAGGGACGTGGCCTGGTGTTCCCCGTTGCTCCTTCTTTTTTCTTCATATTCTGAAAGAAGAGAGGGAAACCCGGGTGGTGTCACGGTTCAATCCAGAGCCGGAGCGTGATTTCTCCCAGCCAGGGCTCGCGCGAAGCCAAATTGCTTTATTCTGGGGGGGAAAAAAAACTACTGTGTTGTGACATCCCGCTGGTGGAGGAGCAAAAAGCATCAAAACAAGGACCTTTTTTATCCACAAAACCCCCATCACCAACCCACAGACCTGGATCTGTAACGAGGAACTCTAAGAACACCCCCTCTGCAAATCACTGCACTCGGTGATATCACCAAGGGCTTCCCCCTGCACGGGGATTTTGGGGAGAAGCTGCTGCTTCCTCTGGTGTTCCCCCCGCCAAGGGAAACCCCGGGGGTGGATTTAGCTGGGAAAGCCCCTCACCGCAATGTTGAGTTTGATGGTTTGCCCCTCCTTGAAGCCCAGGTCCAGTTTGGGTCCCTGCTCAGGGTTCTCGGCCTGTTTGGCCAGCTCACTCTGCTGCCTCACCCATCTGCAGGAATTCAAGGAGAAGAAAAGGAGACGTCAAAACGACCAGCCTGAGGCTCCCCCCGGAACAAATCCTGCCCCAGATCATCCCCTCTGCCCGGCAGCAGCTCTTTAAAGGTGCTGGATGTGATCTGAGACCTCACCAGCGCCGGGGGAATGATCCCCACCAGCGGCTCACGGATCCTCCACGAGCAGCACATCCCACCCTGCCCCAACGCCCCAGCGTCTCCCAGCAGCTGGAGCAGCATCCCAGTCCCTCAGGAGCAGCCCCTTGCTGGTGGCACGTGAATAGATGGAAAGGAATTAGGGAATGTGCCCCCTGGGGGAATGATCCCCACCAGCGGCTCGAGCCGCACGGATCCTCCATGAGCAGCACATCCCATCCTGCCCCAAAGCCCCAGCGTCTCCCAGCAGCTGGAGCAGCGCCCCAGTCCCTCAGGAGCAGCCCCTTGAACAGAAGGAAAGGAAATTAGGGAACGTGCCCAATTTTGGAACTGGGAAGCCCAGTTTGGGAGCCTGCTGGGAAATATTTGCGAGAGGGAGAGCTGCCTGTGCAGAGGAACAGGCGTTTCCACCGCTTTACACCACGCTTGCCCTCTCAAGCGCGACAGGAGTCACAGCTTCCTCTTCCCCTCCGCTTCTGGCAGACACCCAGGAAAAGAAATTGAGCTGAGGGGACACGGGGAGAGGCCCAAACTCACTTAAAATGGTCTTGGAGAGCCACGTTGAAGTCAAAAGCATCCCCTCGGTCGACAAAGCCGACTCCGATGAAAGCTCGGCGGCCTGGGGGAGGAGGAAGAGTGAGGGCTGGAGTCACAAAGCAGCAGAGGAAGAGCAAGAGGACACCCTGTCCTGTACATCCCCGTGCCCTCCACCTCCTCCAGCTGGAGCTGGGACTCCAGAAAACAGAGATACGGGCCTGGAGATATCTTTAGCTTGTTGGTTGCGTGCACAGGGCTTAGTAAAACTAGCTTTTAAATTAGTAACAGCAAGTCAGAGCAGAAATTGGTGATGATTTTTCACAGAGAGGCGTCCTCGGGCCAAGGTCGAGCAGCAAAATGAAACTGTTTTTATTCCTGGTGAAGGACAGAGCGCGGCTGACACGTGGGAGTGAGACAATTCACCCCTTTGCCACTGTAGGCAGGGAACATTTAGCCCTTGAAAGCAGGAATCCTTCAGCAAAAAAAAAAAAGAGCAGCGAGGGCACCACAGGCTTTTCTGAGGAGATTCCCTGGATCTGCTCCCCACATAAAAAAAAAAAAGAGCAGCGAGGGCACTGCAGACTTTCTGAGGAGATTCCCTGGATCTGTTCCCCACGTATCACCACGTACCATTCCCATCTTCGATCCGGAGGACAAAATATCTGCTGGAGTCTGTCACACTCTCCACAGCGATGCCAGGGAACTGCTCCACGGGCGCCTGGGCGAAGAGTTCTCCTGAAAAAAGGGAAACAGGAGCAGGTGAATGCCGGGGCGTAGCCTCTCTGCCTCATCTTCCTCCCCAGGAAGAAGGGCGCGGAGCCGTCGCCTTCCCCTCCTCCTCCTCCTCACCTGAGGTCTTGTCTTCCAGCTTAATGAAGGCCAGCTTGCCCTTGGCGGTGATGCGCAGCCTGCCGCTCCACGCCGGCTGGTCCAGCTGCCACTCTGCAGCTCTGGAGAAAAGAGGAAACGGCCACCGAGGCCTGAGCTGCTTCTCACATCCCAGACAACACCACCAACCTATTTTAATGCCCCCCCATAACACATCCCGAAACTGCTCTGCTCCACACCCCTCAGCGAGAGCGAGAACCCGCCGGCGCCCACGCTCGCGGGGGAAGGAGGGAGATTTGTCACCACATCTGTCCTTTCGCCCCAAACCAGCTGGGCCCCCAAAAAACCGGGTGTCGGGTCCCAGCGGGGGCCTGGGTGAGAATTGCATAAGAGGTTTCGCTTCCCTTTCCACAGAATCTTCAGCTCAACAGCAGTCTTTCGGGGGCAATGAGCTGCCTTAGCTACAGCCTGGCTCTGCTGAGGGGGAGAGGAGCCCCAAAACACACATAGGGGGGGTGGAGATACCCCATTGGGGGCTGGGATGTGGGGCAGAGATACCTCAAAGGGAGTAAGGAGAGAGGAAAGGAGCCCCAAAACACACATGGGGGGTGGAAATATCCCACTGGGGGCCAGGATGTGGGGCAGAGATACCTCAAGGGGGGTAAGGAGAGAGGAGAGCCCCAAAATGCACAGGGGGGTGTGGAGATACCCTGCTGGGGGCCAGGATGTGGGGCAGAGATACCTCAAGGGGGGTAAGAAGAGGGGAGAGGAGCCCCAAAACACACATAGAGGGGGTGGAGATACCTCACTGGGGGCCGGGATGTGGGGCAGAGACACCTCAAGGGGAGGTCAAGTCCAGGCTGAGAGGAAAGGAGCCCCAAAACACGGGGGTGTGGGGGTGGAGATAACCCGCTGGGGGCCAGGATGTGGGGCAGGGATACCTCAAGGGGGATAAGGCCTGGCTGCCCCACAGCCAGGGGGAGCAGACACCCTGTGGGACAGCCAGGCCTTTCCACCCTTGAGGTATCTCTGCCCCACATCCCGTAAGCCAGGCCTTACACCCCACCTTGAGCTATCCCTGCCCCACATCCCGCACACCTTATGGGGAGGGGATCCCCACACCCCACAGGGAAGGGGGCAAACCCCCCCCCCCACACACACACTCCCATGACAGGAGGAGCAGACACCCTGTGGGGAGGGAGGGAGGGACCAACCGCCACGTAACCCACTGAGGGGGCAAGAAGCAAACCCCCCCTTCCCACAGCGGGCCGGAGCTGAGGGGAGAGAGAGAGAGGGGCAGGCCCCCACCTGTAGCCGCGGTTGGAGGCCCGCGGCGGCACCCGGTAGACGTGTACCGCCGGCTTCACGCACAGCACTGCCTCGTACTCCTCCTCCTCCGCCATGGCCGCCATCGCGGCGGAACTCCTCCTCCTCCTCCCGCCGCCGCCGCCGCTCTGGCCTCTCCCGCCTCCATGGTACGTCCCGCCTCCATGGTACCGCCCCCATTTCACCCCCCTCGGCGGGCCCGAGGGGAGAGGCGGCCCTTCCGCCGCCGCCGCCTCAGCGCCCCCTGGCGGGCGGGAGGTCCCGCTGCCGCCCCTTTCCTCCTCCCACTCAATGCAAAGGCGCTTTTTTTCCCCCAATTTCGCCTTAAATAAAAAAAATATTAAAAAAAAAGATTAAAAATAAATAAAAATCCCCTTCATAAGAGGGAGACAGAGCTCACGAAACGGTCAGCGCACCCTGAGCCCTCCTTGCCACCTCAACAACACCTGAGGCGGGAGGCCACCACATAGCACAAAAATAAATTAATTCAATTAAATTAAATCAAATTTACTTATTTTATCCTCCACGGAGAGAGGCAGCATCAGCACAGCTCATGCCAGCGTTTGGAAATCACATCTTCCCTCTGAGCGCTTCCAATTCCCACCCTCCTTGGGCCACATCTCCCCAAGCGAGTCTAAAAAACGGGCCAAAATTCCCCCTTTTTGGGTAAATCTTGGCACAAACGCTCCCAGATTTTACCTTCCTGACGAATTTATTTATTTTTATTTATTTTTTTAAGGCTCTACTTGCGCTGGGAGCTTAAACTGCCAACGAAACGTCCCTCCTGCAGCAGCCCCTGGGAGAAACAGGGGATAAAAGGAGAGAAAAAAAAAAAAAAAGGCGTTAAAAGTTTAAAGACATTTATTTAAAATACAATTTTATAAAACGTTTTTTTCTTTTCGGCGCACGTTTTTGGGGTGAATAAAAAAAAAAAAGAGAAACCCAACAGGCGGTACCGTGTTTATCCTCCGGGGCAGGAACGAGCGCCCAGCCCTGCCCGCAGGCGGGACGTGTCCTGGGCACCGGGACGGAGGAACCGGGAGATTTCGGTGCCGGAGACAGAGATTTTTAGTGCCAAAAAAAAAAAAAAATGGACATTTCGGTGCCAGAAATAGAGATTTCGGTGCCGGAGATCAAGATTTCAGTGCTAAGAGGTGGCAGCTTTAACGCTGGCCGGCTACACCGCGAATCGGGTGAATTTGGAGGGGTGTGTTGTTGTTTTTTGGCCATTAAAAGCTATTTTTAGTAATAATTAAGGAAAGTTGCGGTGACTAACGGTTATTGCTGACGTCCTTCTCCCCTCCCACTCCCCCTCCCCCCCAACCCCGGGGGCTCATTCTGGCTGGGGATAAATATAAACCCTCCCCAAAAAAATAAAGCACCGGCGGTTGGGGTGACATCTGCCCGCCCATCCCCACCATCCTGGGTGCTTTAATCAGCTAATTAACGCTCTAGCAGATTCTTTTTATACACAGGTAGTTTTATTTTACCGTTTTTCTTTTGTTTTTTTGTTGTTTGTTTGTTTTTTTTTCTTTTTAAGCCGTATTTCCATACACGTCTTTTTTGTCCGGTCACTTCCTCCCTTCGGGTGGAAGGTGGCTTTAATGAAGATTTTGCTCGTTAACCCTTGAACCTACTGAGCACGAAGCGGCAGGAAGGGCTGCACCCGTAGAGGATAATCCACCGATAACCAGAAATTGGTTTCTAGGTACCGTTCCCCTCCGAGGAGAGCGTTTAGTGTTCATCTAATCCCTCCGTATTAAGCGAGATTAATTAGGTCAGCTTCATCCCCCCCGGGGGTTGGAGGTGGGGAGGGGGGGAAACATCCACCTTCTTGAGGACCACCAGCCTCTTCCCGGGAGCCGGAGGAGGAAAATCCCATCCCCGAAACAGGGAAAAAACAGGGGGAAATCATCCAGGCTTTATCCAACGCCGGGTTTGTTCCTGCCATCCGTGGATTTGGGGAGGCAAACGCAGCTCGTACCGTGATGGAGACGGGACTTGAGGCTTCGTCGCTCGGGGTTGAGACCCTCGGGATGTCCCCAGGCTCCTCCTCACCCCGTTAATTCCTCGGAGCGGTGCCGGTTCCTCTCCTCACACCGGAGCCCTGATCCTTCGCCGCGTTGGCTCTCTCCGCCGCAAAAGAGCGGCTTTTTCCACGGGATCTGTCTCGGGACAGATTCCACGGGATATTCTCCCCAAATATAAAAAAAACAGGAAAAAAAAAAAAACCAAAACCACAAAAAAAAAATAAAATAAAGATGTGTTTGAAGCTTTTTCTTCCAAGCCAGCAGAAAAATACCAGCCAAGCTTTACCAGGTGCAAGACGTAAACTCAGTGGTCGGACTCCGGATGGGAAAAGCCGGGTATCCGGGAATCCACTCCCAGGAGCTTGGCAGCAGTAGGAAAGAGAGACCAAGAAGCAAGAGCTTTCATCAAACCCGAGCCGTTAAAAGTCGCAGAAATTCACGGAAACTCCTTTTTTTTTTTTTTTTTCCCCCGAACGCTTAACTACCTTCTCTCAATGAAAACAAACCCAGTTAAAACCTTTCCCATGCACTCCGTTGATCCGATATACAGAAAACAACCAGGAAAAAAAAACAAAAACCAAAAAACAATAAAAATAAAATATAAAGAGATCCTTTGAAAACAGAACTTGCTCTTAAAGTGAGGAGGACAACATGCACGTCTGGGGAGGCTTCCCATAGGTTGTTTTTTTTTCCTTAAATCCCAGGTTATGGGTACAACAAACATTATTGCTGGCGCTAGCTTCAACCCACGTGGCACACACACGGCTCCCTGCACCCCTCCGAGTCCTTTACACACACACATCCCCCCCTCTCTGCCTCGTCGTCCCCCCCTTTTTTTTTTTTTTCTCCTTTCTCCAGCGCCTCGGGGACAGCCCTTCTCGGTCACAGTGGGTGGAGAGGGGAGGTCACAGTGCGTGGGGGTTGAAGGTCACAGTGGGCAGAGCAAAGGGGGAATCACAGTGCAAATAAACCAGGGAGTTCCCTTTGCTCGAGTCCGTTTGGCCGTCCCGGCAGCGCGACCCGTGGCGGCGGACCCTGCCTTCCGCAGCGGCATCTCCCGCCCGCGTTTATCTGCGTTGTTTGAAGCCTTGTGAGCCATCGGGACCCAGGGGCTGCCTGATCACATTGTTGGGCTGTCTGGTGTCTTCTGGCTGGGAGAGCCTCGGCGGCCTGCCAGGAGAAAGGAGAACAGAGATTGTTAAAATGCCAAAAAAAAAAGCAGCTCCCTAAAATCCAAAACCTCATGGAAGAGTCAAGTCGAGCAACCATTGTGGAAAAGTCCAGTCAAGTAAGAACCCCCTCGTGGAAAAGTCAAGTCAAAGTCAAGTCAAAGTCAAGTCAAAGTCAAAAAACCTTGGGAAAAGCCAAGGATACACCCCACCAGGATAACTCCAGTTGCCCACACTCCTCTCTAAACCCCCAGCACACTCTTCCATGGGTCCAAGATAACCTTTCAGGCCTTACCAGGTGCTCACGCTTCCTTTAGCTCCCATCAAAGATCTATGATGATTTATGATCAGAGGCTGGTGTGGTTGAAAAATCCAACAATATCAAACTCAGAGTTTATTCCTTTCCAAAGATTTGGGAGTTTGATTCTCAAGTAGCAAAGGGAAACTACAGGGAGAACACGATGACGTCAAATTACCTGTGTTCGTTTAAAATGCTTAAGTTCCACGCTCCCGACTGCACGTGGCAGCTCCCTTAAATCCAAAACCTCGTGGAAAAGTCAAGTCAAGTCAACACACCTCATGAAAAAGTCCAGTCAAGTGAGAACCCCTCCATGGAAAAGTCAAGTCAAGTCAACACATCTCATGAAAAAGTCCAGTCAAGTAAGAACCCCTCCATGGAAAAGTCAAGTCAAGTCAAGTCAAAAAACCTTGGGAAAAGCCAAGGATGACTCCAGTTGCCCACACTCCTCTCTATACCCCCAGCACACTCTTCCATGGGTCTAAGATAACCTTTCAGGCCTTACCAGGTGCTCACGCTTCCTTTATCTCCCATAAATTTAACATCTATGATGATTCATGATCAGAGGCTGTTGTGGTTGGGAAATCCAACAATATCAAACTAGGACTTTATTCCTTTCCAAAGATTTGGGAGTCTGATTCTCAAGTTGCCACAGGAAACTACAGGCGAGTACGGTGACGTAAAATTAACCTGCGTTCGTTTAAAATGCTTGAGTTCCACGCTCCCGACTGCACGTGGCAGCTCCCTTAAATCCAAAACCTCGTGGAAAAGTCAAGTCAAGTCAACACACCTCATGAAAAAGTCCAGTCAGGTAAGAACCCCCTCATGGAGAGTGAGAACCCCTCCATGGAAAAGTCAAGTCAAGTCAACACATCTCATGAAAAAGTCCAGTCAAGTAAGAACCCCTCCATGGAAAAGTCAAGTCAAGTCAAGTCAAAAAACCTTGGGAAAAGCCAAGGATAACTCCGGTTGCCCACACTCCTCTCTAAACCCCCAGCACACTCTTCCATGGGTCTAAGATAACCTTTACAGCCTCACCAGGTGCTCACGCTTCCTTTATCTCCCATCAGTTTGACATCTATGATGATTTATGATCAGAGGCTGTTGAGGATGAAAAATCCAACAATATCAAACTAGGACTTTATTCCTTTCCAAAGATTTGGGAGTCTGATTCTCAAGTAGCCAAGGGCCACAGGAAACTACAGGGAGAGCACGGTGACGTCAAATTACCTGCGTTCATTTAAAATGCTTAAGTTCCACGGTCCCAGCTGCACATGGCAGCTCCCTTAAATCCAAAACCTCGTGGAAAAGTCAAGTCAAGTCAACACACCTCATGAAAAAGTCCAGTCAAGTAAGAACCCCTCCATGGAAAAGTCAAGTCAAGTCAAGTCAAAAAACCTTGGGAAAAGCCAAGCCAGATAACTCCAGTTGCCCACACTCCTCTCTAAACCCTCAGCACACTCTTCCATGGGTCTAAGATAACCTTTACAGCCTCACCAGGTGCTCACGCTTCCTTTATCTCCCATCAAAGATCTATGATTATTTATGATCAGAGGCTGTTGTGGTTGGAAAGTCCAACAATATCAAACTAGGACTTTATTCCTTTCCAAAGATTTGGGAGTCTGATTCTCAAGTAGCCACAGGAAACTACAGGGAGAGCACGGTGACGTCAAATTACCTGTGTTCGTTTAAAATGCTTGAGTTCCACGCTCCCAACTGCACGTGGCAGCTCCCTTAAATCCAAAACCTCATGGAAAAGTCAAGTCAAGTCAAGTCAACACACCTCATGAAAAAGTTCAGTCAAGTAAGAATCCCCTCATGGAAAAGTCAAGTCAAGTCAAGTCAAAAAACCTTGGGAAAAGCCAAGCCAGATAACTCCAGTTGCCCACACTCCTCTCTAAACCCTCAGCACACTCTTCCATGGGTCTAAGATAACCTTTCTGGCCTTACCAGGTGCTCACGCTTCCTTTATCTCCCATAAATTTAACATCTATGATGATTTATGATCAGAGGCTGTTGATGTTGGAAAATCTAACAATATCAAACTCAGTTTATTCCTTTCCAAAGATTTGGGAGTCTGATTCTCAAGTAGCCATGGGAAACTACAGGGAGAGCACGGTGACGTCAAATTAACCTGTGTTCATTTAAAAAGCTTAAGTTCCACGGTCCTGACTGCACGTGGCAGCTCCCTTAAATCCAAAACCTCATGGAAAAGTCAAGTCAAGTCAAGTCAAGTCAACATAGCTCATGAAAAAGTTCAGTCAAGCAAGAATCCCCTCATGGAAAAGTCAAGTCAAAAAAAAAAAACCTTGGGAAAAGCCAAGGATAACTCTGGTTGCCCACACTCCTCTCTAAACCCCCAGCACACTCTTCCATGGGTCTAAGATAACCTTTACAGCCTTACCAGGTGCTCACGCTTCCTTTATCTCCCATCAATTGGAGATCTATGATGATTTATGATCAGAGGCTGGTGTGGTTGAAAAATCCAACAATATCAAACTAGGACTTTATTCCTTTCCAAAGATTTGGGAGTTTGATTCTCAAGTAGCAAAGGGAAACTACAGGGAGAACACGGTGACGTCAAATTACCTGTGTTCGTTTAAAATGCTTAAGTTCCACGCTCCCGACTGCACGTGGCAGCTCCCTTAAATCCAAAACCTCATGGAAAAGTCAAGTCAAGTCAACACACCTCATGAAAAAGTCCAATCAAGTAAGAACCCCCTCATGGAAAAGTCAAGTCAAGTCAAAAACCTTGGGAAAAGCCAAGGATGACACCAGTTGCCCACACTCCTCTAACCCCCCAGCACACTCCTCCATGGGTCTAAGATAACCTTTCTGGCCTTACCAGGTGCTCACGCTTCCTTTATCTCCCATCAATTGGAGATCTATGATGATTTATGATCAGAGGCTGGTGTGGTTGAAAAATTTAACAATATCAAATTAGGACTTTATTCCTTTCCAAAGATTTGGGAGTTTGATTCTCAAGTAGCCACAGGAAACTACAGGGAGAGCACAGTGACATCAAATTGCCTGTGTTCGTTTAAAATGCTTAAGTTCCACACTCCCGACTGCACGTGGCAGCTCCCTTAAATCCAAAACCTCGTGGAAAAGTCAAGTCAAGTCAACACACCTCATGAAAAAGTCCAGTCAGGTAAGAACCCCCTCATGGAGAAGTCAAGTCAAGTCAAGTCAAGTCAAGTCAAGTCAAGTCAAGTCAAGTCAAGTCAAGTCAAGTCAAGTCAAGTCAAGTCAAGTCAAGTCAAGTCAAGTCAAGTCAAGTCAAGTCAAGTCAAGTCAAGTCAAGTCAAGTCAAGTCAAGTCAAGTCAAGTCAAGTCAAGTCAAGTCAAGTCAAGTCAAGTCAAGTCAAGTCAAGTCAAGTCAAGTCAAGTCAAGTCAAGTCAAGTCAAGTCAAGTCAAGTCAAGTCAAGTCAAGTCAAGTCAAGTCAAGTCAAGTCAAGTCAAGTCAAGTCAAGTCAAGTCAAGTCAAGTCAAGTCAAGTCAAGTCAAGAAACCTTGGGAAAAGCCAAGGATAACTCCAGTTGCCCACATTCCTCTCTATATCCCCAGCACACTCTTCCATGGGTCTAAGATAACCTTTACAGCCTCACCAGGTGCTCACGCTTCCTTTATCTCCCATAAATTTAACATCTATGATGATTTATGATCAGAGGCTGTTGATGTTGGAAAATCTAACAATATCAAACTCAGTTTATTCCTTTCCAAAGATTTGGGAGTCTGATTCTCAAGTAGCCATGGGAAACTACAGGGAGAGCACGGTGACGTCAAATTAACCTGTGTTCATTTAAAAAGCTTAAGTTCCACGGTCCTAACTGCACGTGGCAGCTCCCTTAAATCCAAAACCTTGTGGAAAAATCAAGTCAAGTCAACACACCTCGTGAAAGAGTCTAGTCAAGTAAGAACCTCCTCATGGAAAAGTCAAGTCAAGTCAAGTCACCTTGGGAAAAGCCAAGGATAACTCTGGTTGCCCACACTCCTCTCTATACCCCCAGCACACTCTTCCATGGGTCTAAGATAACCTTTCTGGCCTTATCAGGTGCTCACGCTTCCTTTATCTCCCATCAATTGGAGATCTGCGATGATTTATGATCAGAGGCTGTTGAGGTTGAAAAATCCAACAATATCAAACTCAGAGTTTATTCCTTTCCAAAGATTTGGGAGTTTGATTCTCAAGTAGCAAAAGGAAACTACAGGGAGAGCACAGTGACATCAAATTGCCTGTGTTCGTTTAAAATGCTTAAGTTCCACACTCCCGACTGCACGTGGCAGCTCCCTTAAATCCAAAACCTCATGGAAAAATCAAGTCGAGTCAACACACCTCATGAAAGAGTCTAGTCAAGTAAGAACCTCCGCATGGAAAAGTCAAGTCAAGTCAAGTCACCTTGGGAAAAGCCAAGGATAACTCTGGTTGCCCACACTCCTCTCTAAACCCCCAGCACACTCCTCCATGGGTCTAAGATAACCTTTCTGGCCTTACCAGGTGCTCACGCTTCCTTTATCTCCCATCAATTGGAGATCTATGATGATTTATGATCAGAGGCTGGTGTGGTTGAAAAATTTAACAATATCAAATTAGGACTTTATTCCTTTCCAAAGATTTGGGAGTCTGATTCTCAAGTAGCCAAGGGCCACGGGAAACTACAGGGAGAGCACGGTGATGTCGAATTACCTGAGTTCGTTTAAAATGCTTAAGTTCCATGCTCCTGACGGCACGTGACAGCTCCCTTAAATCCAAAACCTCATGGAAAAGTCAAGTAGAGCAACCATTGTGGAAAAGTCCAGTCAAGTAAGAACCCCCTCATGGAAAAGTCAAGTCAAGTCAAAGTCAAGTCAAAGTCAAGTCAAAGTCAAGTCAAAGTCAAGTCAAAGTCAAGTCAAGAAACCTTGGGAAAAGCCAAGGATAACTCCAGTTGCCCACATTCCTCTCTATACCCCCAGCACACTCTTCCATGGGTCTAAGATAACCTTTCAGGCCTTACCAGGTGCTCACGCTTCCTTTATCTCCCATAAATTTAACATCTATGATGATTTATGATCAGAGGCTGGTGTGGTTGAAAAATCCAACAATATCAAACTCAGAGTTTATTCCTTTCCAAAGATTTGGGAGTTTGATTCTCAAGTAGCAAAGGGAAACTACAGGGAGAACACGGTGACGTCAAATTACCTGTGTTCGTTTAAAATGCTTAAGTTCCACGCTCCCGACTGCACGTGGCAGCTCCCTTAAATCCAAAACCTCATGGAAAAGTCAAGTCAACACACCTCATGAAAAAGTCCAATCAAGTAAGAAGCCCTCCATGGAAAAGTCAAGTCAAGTCAAATAACCTTGGGAAAAGCCAAGGATAACTCCAGTTGCCCACACTCCTCTCTAAACCCCCAGCACACTCTTCCATGGGTCTAAGATAACCTTTCTGGCCTTACCAGGTGCTCACGCTTCCTTTATCTCCCATCAATTTGACATCTATGATGGTTTATGATCAGAGGCTGTTGTGGTTGAAAAATCCAACAATATCAAACTAGGACTTTAATCCTTTCCAAAGATTTGGGAGTTTGATTCTCAAGTAGCAAAGGGAAACTACAGGGAGAGCACGGTGACGTCAAATTACCTGCGTTCATTTAAAATGCTTAAGTTCCACGCTCCCGACTGCACGTGGCAGCTCCCTTAAATCCAAAACCTTGTGGAAAAATCAAGTCAAGTCAACACACCTCATGAAAAAGTCCAGTCAAGTAAAAAAAACCTCAGGAAAAGCCAAGGATCTGCCCCACTAGGATAATTCTGCCAACGCTCCTCTAGGACTTTAATCCTTTCCAAAGATTTGGGAGTTTGATTCTCAAGTAGCAAAGGGAAACTACAGGGAGAGCACGGTGACGTCAAATTACCTGCGTTCATTTAAAATGCTTAAGTTCCACGCTCCCGACTGCACGTGGCAGCTCCCTTAAATCCAAAACCTTGTGGAAAAATCAAGTCAAGTCAACACACCTCATGAAAAAGTCCAGTCAAGTAAAAAAAACCTCAGGAAAAGCCAAGGATCTGCCCCACTAGGATAACTCTGCCCCTGCTCCTCTCTATACCCCCAGCATGCTCTTCCAGGGGTCTAAGATAACCTTTATCAGGCACTTGTCCACCACTTAACTCCCATAAATTTGAGATTTATGATGATTTATGATCAGAGGCTATTGTGGCTTAAAAATCCAGCAATAGCAAACCAGGACATCATTTCTTTCCAAAGATTGGAAGTCTGATTCTCAAGTAGCCATGATGCACAATGGAACTACAGGGAGAGCACCGTGCTATGAATTCACTCAAGAGTGCTTAAATTCCACTCTCCTGTCTGCAGGTAGCAGCTCCCTTAAGTCAAAAAAACCCCAAAATGTCATGGAAAAGTCAAGTCAAAAAAACTCTGCAGGGAAAAGTCAAGTCAAGTCAAGAACCCCTCATGGAAAGCTCAAGTCAAGCAAAAAAAACCCTCAGAAAAGCCAAGGATATGCCCCACCAGGATACCTGCAGTTGCCCACACTCCTCTCTAAACCCCCAGCACGCTTTTCCAAGGGTCTAAGATAACCTTTCCGGCCACATCAGGTGCTCACGCTTCCTTTATCTCCCATAAATTTGAGATTTATGATTTATGATCAGAGGCTGTTGTGCCTTAAAAATCCCCAAAATATCAAACTAGGACTTCATTTCTTTCCAGAGATTTGAGTGTCTGACCAAGACCCACGGGAAACAACAGGGAGAGCACGGTGCTGCCAAATTACCTGCGTTCATTTAAAAGTGCTTAAACTCGACTCTCCCATCTGCACGTGGCAGGTCCCTTAAATCAAAGAAAACCTTGTGGAAAAGTCAAGTAAAGTCAAAAAAACCTCGGGCCCTCCTTGGGCAGCCCATTCCAATGGCTGAGAACCCTTTCAGTGAAAAAATTTTTCCTAATATCCAGCCTGAACCTCCCCTGGTGTAACTTGAGGCCATTTCCTCTCATCCTGTCGCCTGTGACTTGGGAGAAGAGACCGACCCCCACCTCTCTACACCCTCCTTTCAGGGAGTTGGAGAGAGCAAGAAGGTCTCCCCTCAGCCTCCTCTTCTCCAGGCTGAACACCCCCAGCTCCCTCAGCCTCTCCTCACAAGACTTGTGCTCCAGACCCCTCACCAGCTTTGTCGCCCTTCTCTGGACCCGCTCCAGCACCTCGATGTCTTTTTTATGGTAGGGGGCCCAAAACTGGACACAGCACTCGAGGTGAGGCCTCACCAGTGCCCAGTACAGGGGGACAATCACCTCTCGGGCCCTACTCCCCACGCTGTTCCTGATACAGGCCAGGATGCTGTTGGCCTTCTTGGCCACCTGGGCACACTGCTGGCTCATGTGCAGCCGACAGTCAACCAACCCCCCCAGGTCCTTTTCTGCCGGGCAGCTCCAGCCATTCCTCCCCCAGCCTGTAGCGCTGCCTGGGGTTGTTGTGACCAAAGTGCAGGACCTGGCACGACACCCTCCTTGCTAACAAAGCTTTCCTTTCTCCTTGCTGCCCTCACTCCACTCGAGGAGTTCATCTCCCTCTTCCTGATGGGAAGGTGTTGGTGAGGAGCGGGGGCCAAGCTGTCAGAGCACAAAAGGCTGCTCTCACCTGTCAAGGATGGGCTTCTCCTGCTCTTCTTCGGGGCTCGCGCTGCCCAATATTCGTTTCCTGGCTTCCGCGTACTCCGCTTCCCTCTGCGCCAGGGATTTGACGGGGAAGGCCGGCCTGCTGGCGGAGTTGGGGTTGCTGAGGACGCCGTTGGTCGTCGGCCTCTTCAGGATGCGGATCTGCGGGGGAGGACCTGCAGGAAGGCTGTCGTCCTGAATCACGATCGGCACTTTGGGAGGAGATTTTGACTTTCTGCTGTTTAAAAGAAACAAAACAACGCATTCGGTCGGTGCTTTCTAGACCAAGCATGTTTTTCGCTCTGCGTGCGAATTCCTCCCAGTCAGATGTCACTCCCATGATTAAGAAGCCTGTAATAATTAAAGACCTGGTTATATTTGTAACCCTAAACGAGAGCGGCCAGCGGGTCTGCAGGAGATTAGCTCAGTAAGGGGCAGAAAACCAGTCCCTGCTGCGTTTGACATCTTTAAACTCGGCTGAAGGGAAAGGAAATGGACACCGGGCAAAATCTTTAGCACTTCTATTCAAAGATACTGGTATGAGGACCTCGATTCCATTCCCTGCAAGGACTTTTAGGGCTCCTCTCACCAGGATACCCAGCCTTCTGCTCCAACCTTGCCCATTTCACTTCTCAGAGCCAGCCCTGGTCCTAGTCTCACCATTTGAATTATTTTTTTATAGTCCCTTCTCTGTGTGCAAGACCCAGAGAAGCAATACCAGGATTCCTACTAAGAATCAAAGAGGAAAAAAAAAACAACAAAAAAACCAACAAGAGACTTGTCAGAGGTGATTAGGAATATTTCTGCTAGAAGACAGTGACACACGCCCCTGCCCCAACCCAAAGTTGAGCAGGAAAAGAAAGTCCTACTGACGCAAGACACGGCAATTTAGGGCCATGAGTTGGGATTACCTGACTCACCCATTTCTTCCTTTGAGTGTTTTTTTCTTAAATGGCTTCCCCATAGCTGTAGCTACATCCAGTCTGGAAGACTCTGAAATCAAATCACTCTCAAGAAGCTTTCTGCTGCCCCGCTACGGATCGAAAGGGCCATCTAGTGGCACGAGGAAAGAGATTCCCTATTTCTGAACTCAAACCCGGCACACTCTCCTCACTCTGAAGCTGTTTCCCCACTGTTCCCACTCCCCAGGCCTTTGGATGTCCAACAGCACCACAGGAAAATAAGGGTTTTTTCTCCAAACCACACAGCATCGTTACCTTTCCTTCTGTGTGATCTTCAGCTTCTTTTCCAACCGTCTGTCTATTTCCTACAAAAAAAAAAAAAAGGAGATAAAAATAAAAACCTGAAGGCTTGTCTTGGAAATGGGAGTTTGAGCCTGTCTGCGCACACATTTAATGTCCCAGGGATACTTAGAGGGGGGCAGAGAGAGTGTGTATCTCCAGCTGAGGATGACTTGCAAATCAAGAGGGAGAGAAAAGCAAAGCCACCACGGATATTCCACCGGAGCCATTACTACACCTACAGCAGGCTGGGGATTCTGCGTATCGCTGTCAGGAGGCAGCTGCCAGGCGCTCATCTTTCATTTTAAGGAATTCTGGCTGGCAAAAAAGCTCTATTCGGGGTAAAGAGCCCCCGAAACACGCAGCGAGGTATTCCCAGATCCGAGCAGGAACCGGTGCCGAACCTCTCGGGCAGAGGAGCAGCAGGAGCAGTCGGCCAGGGCGACTCACATCAGCCTACATGCTTGATTTCAGTGGGCCAGCTCAGCCCCAGAGCCTGTAGCCATTCGGAGGACTAGCCGGCAGGGCCGCATTCCTGCTGCTTGCCACAATAATCCTCCTTCAAAAAAAAAAAACCAAAAAACCAACCCAACCCTCCCTGCCCTGCCCGATATGCACCCAAGGATTCGTCAGGGCAGAGCAGAACCTTCTTGCACTTCTCCTTCCCTTTGCATCATCGCTGCCGAGTCATCAATCGGCGGAAAAAGGTATTAATCACCCCCCTGAATGCCAAAAGTGGCTTTAAGCATGTCATCTTCTGTCCAAGGCTCGCACCTACCTTAGCAAAGGTGTTCAGGTTTTGCAAGGGGAGCAATTATGCAGAGAAATGTTGCTAAATAGGAAAATAAAGGGAGCTTTCAGTCCCAATCTCTCTTTAGGTAACCTTCCCCAACCTCCCTGCTATCTTTAGGATCTCCTGACAGGCGATGCTATTAAAAGAGCCGCTGAAACGGCTATGTGTTTTATTTAATCATCAATGAAAAAGGGGGGGGGAAAAAAAAAGCTACCTGAGAGTGTCCTAGTTTCGTCAGCCGATAACTGGCAATCCTGAAGGAAATTCCAAGCTTCTGGCAGGAGGCAGCTGCTCTACTTTTCAGGCGGGTTTGCTTAACTCCGCTGAAAGCTCGCTGCCAGCAGAGCCTACCCTGCTGTCAAAAAACCACAGCAGGCACAACCCAGTAAAGAAACTGGTTTGCACAGTAATTCCCCGATGCCCCAGTAAGCAGGGAATGAACACAAGTCGCTACAAGACGCCAGACCACGGTGTTTGCTCTCTTGGTCACGCAGCTACGCAGGCCCAACAAGCCCACAGCAGCCTTCATTGAGAAAGGAAGAGTTATAACCCAATTTTGGGAAGATAAACAGTGGGTGGGAGGTTGAATTTCCTACCAAACTCTGTACTGGGAGGCGATGGGTGATTTCTAAGGACAAAACCAGGCAGGAGCTTCACATGAGCTGACAGCCAGATCCCAGCCAGAGTCTCCTGTTGAAGGCAAACACACCTGCAGCTTCCTTCCTCTTCAAGAGGAACAAGAGGAAAAATCCCATCCCAACGCTACTCAGGAGGACAGAAAAAAACGTCTATCAGCTGCCTCCTGCCCCCAAAGATGGAGGAACAGGAAGAGGGAGCAGGGAAACGGATATCCCTGCAAGGATGGAGACTCGTAGAGCGGCTGGTGGCAAACAATGAAAGTCCAATTAAGGGGAAGGGGTTAGCTCATCTGCCCACACGACTCCACAAGAGGTTATATCCGGCGATAGAAGAGGCTTTAAAACGCTTTTTCAAACTCAAGAGAGTTAACCACGCCTCCCCAGGGCTCCTGGAAGCGGAGGACTGGAAGGAAGCTTCCTTAAATATCCCTTATTAAATTCTTCAGCGCGTGGGGGAGAGGGATGACAGGAAGGTGGGGCAGAAAAGGGGAGAAAAACTCATTTTGCCTAGTGTTTGGTGCCACACAGTGACTACGGAGCCACCTGCGAGTCAGAAGCCCAGGGCTGAACCACCCAGCTCAGTGGTTTGGCAGCCCCCAGCGAGGACCGTGGGGCACAAAAGCGTGACAAGCCACACGGTAGCCACGAGGAAGGCTCCGTTCTGCTCTCCCCTCTCTCCTCCCCTGGCAGAGGAGCGACGGTTGTGACAAAAGCCACATTTCTACATTCCTGGTGGCTTTGCAGGTCAGTCCCGGGGCAAAAGTCGCGGTCCCTACCATGGGACTGTGAGATCCTGTAATTGCAAAGCGTCACCTGGACCTCAGCAGGTGAAAAAACACGCTGATTAACACGCCTGTCACGGACGGACAGACTCTTCACGCCCTCCCACACGCCAAACTTCCTCCGACTGCATCCTCTAACACCAGAACCTGCAGCTTCCCCTAGCAGAAAATGAAAAAAAAAAAACCAAACACAAAAACCCCAACCCAATACAGCTCTTTGATTTGCTCAACACACACAAACTTAGTCGAAAGGATCGTTTCAGCCCTGCCATGGTAACATCTCTCCTCGAAAGAGGTCTTTACGGTCCAGTTTCTCTCTTTCCTACCACCACACAGACAATTTATTGCAAAATACTTTGTATTTTTGCCTCTGCAATTGCTAGTAGTTGCTAAGAACATGGTCCTGGTTCATAAGCCACCACACGTGGGGTCAACAGTTCCTCCGTGCCTGGGGAGCTCCTCACCGAGGAGCAGAGTAACAGGCAGCTAAAATATCCCCCAAGTTCTAACATCAGCAGCTGTTAGAGCCACTGTGTACTCTCCCAAAACAAGAGGCTTCCTCCACACGTAGAAATCCTGGCAGAATAGTATAAAACACTCATCCCCCACCAAATATACCACGTATCACTCTCACCCCATCCAAACAACGAGCTGCAGAATTCCCAGCACTGCTGAGGGCATTCCAGATGCCTCCAGATATTCACTAGGCTTTTGGGGTAGAAAAAGTCTTCCTTTGTGTTCAAATTATAAAAAAACACCTCCCTACACCACACACACCTCTTGATGTGTTAGAAGTCATGTTTTCTTTTAAATGCAGGGATTGACCCCATTTTCTCTCAGCACTGAAAAGTCTGGGTGTTTAATACTACTGTTTTTGGAGTTACAGAAACACAGAATCACACGGGGTGGGAAGGGACCTCTGGAGATCACCCAGTCCAACCCCCTGCCACAGCAGGGCCACCCAGAGCAGGTCCCACAGGAACGTGTCCAGGGGGGGTTGGAATGTCTCCAGAGAAGGAGACTCCACCACCTCTCTGGGCAGCCTCTGCCAGGGCTCTGCCACCCTCACAGCAAACAAGTTCCTCCTCATGGTGAGGTGGAACTTCTTCCATTCAAGTTTGTGGCCATTCCCTCTTGTCCTGTCCCTGGGCACCACTGGAAAAAGCCTGGCCCCATCCTCCTGACACCCACCCTGGAAGGATTTAGAGGTGTTGATCAGATCCCCCCTCAGCCTTCTCTTCTCCAGACTCAACAGACCCAAGTCCCTCAGCCTTTCCTCAGCACAGAGATGCTCCAGGCCCCTCAGCATCCTCATCACCCTCTGCTGTCCCCTCTCCAGCAGGTCCCTGTCCTTCTGGAACTGGGCAGCCCAGAACTGGTCCCAGTGCTCCAGATGGGGCCTCCCCAGGGCAGAGCAGAGGGGCAGGATGACCTCCCTCCACCTGCTGCTCACACTCTTCCTCATGCCCCTCAGGATGCCATTGGCCTTCTTGGCCACCAGGGCCCATTGCTGGCTCCTGGGCATCCTGTTGGCCACCAGGACTCCCAGCTCTTTCTCCTCAGAGCTGCTCTCCAGGAGGTCACCCCCACCCTGTGCTGGTTTGGGGGGGTTATTCGTCCCCAGGTGCAGCACCCTGCACTTGCCCTTGATGAACTTCATCAGGTTCCTCTCTGCCCAACTCCCCAGCCTGTCCAGGTCCCGCTGTGTTGAGTTTGAGTCTTGAGTTGTAAGCAAGGAGGCATGTGGACGCAGAGAAAATCGCTAATTTAAATGGGCAGCCCTTAATCACCCTGCAAAACCAACCCAAGAAATTTGCAGTTCGTGACCGGGCTCACGCTGCATGAATTTACAAGCTTGAGAAGCAGAAACACCTTGACACGGCTTATTCTTAATTAAAAAAAAAATATATATATATCCCTGCCGTTGCTCTGCACAGATCTGTTTGTCTGCTGACATCATTCCCTTTCCACTGCTATGTCACATTGTCACCAAGCTGTGTGGGTAATGAGATAAAATTAGGAGCTGACTTACAGGGCAAGTGCCAGAAGGACTACAACAACCCAAAGGCACGAGCTCACAGCAGAGGCAATTAGAGTTGGCATTGGAGGACATCACGCCGCACGCACCCAGTGACTGGGCACGTCACACCACACAAAAACCAGTTATTAACCTTCTTGAGGCTCCCCCAGCTTTCATTTCCCAAACAAACTTACTTATATAACCAAAAACTAAGCCCCATTTACACGCCCCCCCCACCCCCGTTCAAAACACCCTCCCCAAAGATTAGTAAGGAATCTCAACAAACTATTTTTAGTGCTATTATGTCTAGATACCAAAAAGGACCCAAACAAACAGCATGAAGAAGACACTGTTCTTTGACATTTAAGCTGCATTTGCAGATGAGGACGTAATGGAAACTGAACTCCTGCCCCATCCCAGCCATCCTTCCTGCCCTCTAACCCTGAGGAAAACAGCAATGCATAAAAGGATCGATAAAATACCTCTTGGAAAAAGTCAGACACAGACACCAAGACACAAACCTGATGCTTGGATCCGACAATCCTATGGTCTGGCACCCTAAATAAGAACCCCATCCATATAGCTGATAATTTTGTGATGTTATTGGCGAGTTGGAATAGATGCTCCCCCCCGACACCCCAGAAATGTGCCCTTCAGGAAGGGATGCTCCTGTGGATCACAGTTTCACATGGATTCTACCCCCATTCCCAAGCAAACCCCGTTTTCCAGTGAATTACAGAGCAGAGCTGTTGCCTAAAGAACTTTGTTGGAATAAGTGTAACGTGTCAGACACGTATAAAGAATTATCCTGCACATCGCTGCCAGCAAAAACTCTGTTTAGACTAAATAGCAGCAGCTCCAGTCTCTGCTGATATGGGGGAAAGGAATAACAAGATAACTGCTGGCTAGTTTTTATTTCAAGTTTAGTGAGTAACCACAACTGAATGTTTGAAGGAAGGCAGAGACTCGGGCGTCCTATAAATCCCTTATGCTACGAGGGTATTTCTCCCTCTACCTCCAAAATTAGGTTATTTTGCAGAAATCGAGAGGAGATACCTACCAG